TCAATATGGTGGAACATATAAATAAATATATATATAACAATACCATGTAATATCAATAAATGCAGGAGGAAAACCTTTTACAAAATCCAATATTCATTCATGATTTTTAAAAACTCACAAACAAGTATAGAGGAGTTTTCCTCCACAAAAATATCTGCCATAAGCTGTCAACATAATATGACATAGAGGAGCATTCTCACTTAAACCAGGTTCAAAACATGAAGGATCTCTTTAACTGCTTTTATTTGATATAGTAGGGCAGGAAATAAGTACTAGCATTAATACTGAAAGTGAAGAGGTCAAAATATTTGCCAATGGTAGAATAAAGTATCTTTAAAAAATCCAACTGTCTCAATCAAACAATTAATTGAAACAATATTCTGCAAAGATAGAAGATTTTTATTCTTATGGACCAACAATAAAGATTAGTAGAAGAAAAAACAAAAAGAGAAACTCTATTTACAATAACAACAAAACCATAAAATATTTGGGAATTAACCTAGCCAGAAATTATACAGGACTTGTATAATGACAGCTAGAAAACTATGATGTCTGAAATAGACAAAAATGAATACTTGGAGGAGCATTCAATGCTCATGAATGAGTTGGTTTAATATAATGAAAATGACAATGCTCTGAAATTTATGTATCTAATACAATACCAATCAAATCACTAAGAAATTTATAGAACTCTATCAAACCTTAATGAAATTATATGGAAAAATAAATGGGCAAAAAAAAAAATGGCACGACAGTGGAAAAGCTGATGAATGTGGGCTTGCCACTCCTAGATGGCTTTAAGATCTACCACAGAGCAGTTACAAAAACTAGTTAGTACAAGGGAATAAAAGAGAACCAGATTAATGGAATAGAATAAATACACAAAGCATCCGACCAAATGTAGACAAGATTAGTGATAAATCTGAAGAAAATGAAAACTCAGTTAACAAATGTCCCTTGGGAAATTAGCAATCTGGTTAGCAATCTGGTGGGAAATTAATTTATTCACACATCTTATACCTGAAATTCAGCTAGACAACAAACTTAAACATTTAAAAATTTTTTTATTGGAGGAAAACAAAACAATTTGTTTCTTATTACAGGGAAATGTGTTTGGTTTTTTTTTTTCCCATTCAACAATTATGAGTCCCAGAGCCAGGTTTTCAAGTATTTCCTCTTGACGCAAACTATGTGACTCTGGGCAAGTCAGGGGGCAGTGAGGTTGTGCCATGGTGCAGAGCACCAGCCTTCAGGAAGATGAGTCTTCCTGAGTTCAAATCTTGCCTCAGATTCTAACTAGATGCGTGACCCTGGGCAAGTCACTTAACCTGTTGGCCTGTTTCCTCATCTATAAAATGAGCTGGAGAAGGAAATGGTAAACCACTCCAGTATCTTTGCTAAGAAAACCCCAGATGGGGTCATGGGTAGTCGGACATGACTGAAAGGACTCAACAATAACAACTGGGCAGGTTCTCTACCCCTTGATGTGGACTGTACATTGCAGAAAAGGTGCTTACCTGCTTTGGTTGAAGAAATTTCTTCATCCAATAGTTGCCTATACCAATAAAATTACAGGTCCAGTCCCTATCCTAATCTCTGTGGCAGACAGAAATTTGAAACCTAAAATGCATGAAGAGAGCTGTTAAAAATTTATAATGGTGTCTCAAAATACAACGTATAAATATAAACAAAGAATCCTGATGAATACATAGGGAGAGTGACTAAAAAGTTAAGTTTTTATCATTTAAATGTAGACAGTAAGCATGTTGTTGTTGATACTTACTGTTAACTTTTGAATAAATAATTTTAAAATAAGAAATAGCAAAGGGTATTTGAATACTGGATTTGAAGTCACAAATCTGAGTTCAAATTATGAATCTGCTATTTAATATGTGATGTTGGGCAAGCCAAATCTTTTTATTCCTTAGTATTCTAATTTGTGATAAAATAGGCCTTGATTAGATATGGGATTCTTAAAAGTCGAGTACATGGAGAAATTTCAAGGTATCCATGAACTTGAATGGGGGAAAAAAACCCAAACTTCATGTTTATTTTCACTAACCTCTGAAATGTAACATTTACTTAAGTCATTAAAGTAGGCAACAAACCACTGTAGTGTTTGACTTCACCAGACTGCCAAAGGGGTCCAGGGCACAGAAATCGTTAAAAAAAAATCCTGTATCTGATAACCTCTGACATTACTTTCAGATATAAATGCCATGAACCTGCATCTTTGATTTCTACTTCCCTCTCTGGTCACCAAATCCTGCTGATTTTTCCTTTGAGTGATCTCTGCATCCATCTCTTCCTGTCCATTCGTGTTCCCATGGCCTTTCTCACCTCATACCTGAACCTCCTAAATGGTCTCCTGCCTCTATTGCCACACATTCAGCACCCACTGCTGGAGTCCTCTTAAAATGCTACTTGAAAACAATCTTCCCCATTCCCCTGCACAAAACATTTGGTTGCCTACGTGCAGGTCTTTTTCAATGCCTTACCCCGGCACATCAGACCTTCCCACCTGCCTCTACCTTTGCTCATTCCACTTCTTTATTCCCTCTTCCCTCCAGATCCTGAAAGGACCTTAGGTCCACAAACATTATGGATGTTTATTGTACAGCACTGGGGGGAAAAAAAAAGTCCCATATTATTTGTTTGCTAGTTTAGGTTTCAGTAGTAAAAGGGAGCTTACATTACTTGTATTTTTGTGATAGCCTACCAGTACGAATGCCCTAATCAAAAGATGCATGGTAATACGCATCTGGAAAGATGATGAACCTAGTAGAAAACTTAAAAAGAATTTTAAAAATAACTTGATGCTTTAAGCCTGTGGTGCATATGTAAAACTACCTGGCTACTAGTGAGTCTAATAAATTAATAACGCAATTAAGAAAGACATAAACACCAGCATTGCATGTTTTATTCTTAGAACTTAGAAACGACATTAAACGGTGGGAAAATACATTTCAAAGCTAGTTTTCTAACCCTGGAAGTGAACAAAAGTGTTGATTCTCTGAATAACTGAAAATGGATTCACTGAACAAGATTTCACCCTCTCCCCTATATATAGTCTAAATTAAATTCATGGCACTTTCACTGATAAAGTAGGTGACATAAAAGTATATTCAGTTAACTAACCGTATTTTATCTACTCATCGCCAGTGATGTGGCAAACAAAGGGAGCATATTTTCCAAATGTGACATCATTTGTCACGAAGTGTTCAGCAGAGCTTGGGATGTGTGAAATTAACACAGAATATAGGTGCAGACACAGTTATATGTTATGGCCTAAAATCAGTTTTACTGCTTTGTTTCCCAAAAACCACTTGGTCAAAACTCATTCCAACCCAAAGTTCCTGTTAATGAATTCCCCATCATTTTGTTATGATCCCTTTTCCATTGATTTCCTAGATGACAAGATAATGGTTTGTCTGAGGCAAGTTACAAGAGTCCATCAGATTTTTTTTTCTGAAAATGCCAATTTATTGCATTTGAATGCTTCTGTCTTCCATTGTATTCTACAATCTAATACTGCACTTTTCCGAAACATTTTTTCCTATGCAGCTATTGTCTACAGTCCTCATTTTTAATTTATAAGCCAGTATTTCTAAATCATCAGGAAACTGGAATAAAGTCTGTGAAACTCCAAGCTTTTCTGGCGACAGTGTTCATTTTAAATGGCGACCTGAGTCCCAGTACCATGGGTGAAACAGCAATGTACATTTCATTTCAGAAATGTAGACTGACACCAAGAAATATAGAGATCACAATAGGTAACCTTAGAGTGTCCACTCATCCCAGCAGCTACAGAGGGTCCCTGGGTATTCGCCGTGCTGTAGATAAGAGTTATGTTGAAGGCAACCTCTTGCTTGTGTTTATCCAGACCTCCATCCATCCCCACCCCCTGAAACCAGGTATACTGTGGATCAGGGAGGAAGTAGGGAAGAATATGATTTTCATGGGTCATCTGCTCTTGATCTGGCCAGCACCTTGTCTGGGGACCCTCCTGGCATGGTGGGATGACTTCAGGGTTTGCCCACTTTCTGAGGAAGGACCTTCCTTTCCCAACAGTTTGTGTCCTGGGAAGTGCCTTGGCTCCTCCTGGGTCACCTCCAGCCCAAGACCAACTTGGGCCAACCCCTCACCCCTGGCAGAACCTGGGAAGTGTGGGGTGTGTAGTCCTTTCTAGAAACAGTCCAGGCCTTTAGAATGAACTAACCCTATTCCTAAGCTCATTTCCCCCCAGGAGGTATTCTACTAGTCTAGGGCAGCTAGGTGGCTCAGGAAGCCCTGGAGTCAGGACGACCTGAGTTCAAATCCATCCTCAGTCACTTGCTAGCTATATGACCCTGGGCAAGTCATTTAACCCTATTTGCCTCAGTTCCTCATCTGTAAAAGGAACTGGAGAAGGAAATGGAAACTAAGCCATTCTATATCCAAGTAAAATAAGGCAATCAATTTCCCTCAACTAATAATCTGAAATCATTCAGTTTAAACATTTATTAGGAATAACATTAAAATTGTTTTTCAAATGGCTTTGAAAAGTTTCACCACAATGGCAAAGAAAAAATATTTTTTAAATGTTTTCATACATTAAATTTATTATGTGTTAAATATTATAACAAAAGCTTCAATTTTACAACTGTGCCTAAAATTCCTGGCATCCCATTTGGGGCAACTATCTTGAATATCATCCTTTAAAAAGTGAGGCCTTCGTCAAGGGTTCATTATTGAATTACACCAGGATAATTCCATTCAAGGAGCCAGGCAATTGTAAACCATCTGTAAAAGAAACACTAAGTGATTTATTAGTGCCGTCAGAAGTCCCAGAGGAAACCAAAGCCTCACAGGCAGAATTTTCACACTCACATCTGCCCTTCGATGCTCCCTTCTCATCCCACCACCTTGTTTTCCCCTCATGACACATGTCAACTGGACTGGAACTGGTCTCTAACCTGTGGGTGGCCAGAGCCGAAAACAGCAGGCTAGAGACAGGAGAGTCAGGAATCAAACAGAAGTTTAATTTCAAAGCAAGGAAAACAGGTTTGCAAACCAAAGTCCTCCTGGGAAGGAGGGCTTGGTGGCTTGTAGTAGGGGGAAGGTTTTTAACCCTGAAAACTACAAAAAGGCAGGAGCCAACACAGTCATTCTTGGGTCTTGAATAAACAGTTCCCATGGCAGGCCCACACGTGCAGGCATTTTGGGACAATACAGATGCTCTTGGATCCTGTGGGAAAAGGCCCTAAATTGACTCAAGTCTTAAGGGTCATTAAACCTTGTGATCATTCAGCGGGGTACAGAACCAGAGTTAGCGTGACAGGAGCAGGAGTGCAACACCTGGTTCAGCTCACTTAGCAGTTACAAGCACAGGAATTGTTTGGTGTCAAGAGGTATGATTGATTGCTTTCTGCTGCAACATGTTGGCTGCTTCTGGCCCTCCGGTCCCTAGGAAATCGGGAAGCTCCAACAAATCTAAATAGTTAGTTATCAATTAGTATGAAAATCATAAATCCCTCAGAGAACACCTGGTGCTGATCAAAGCAATACATTTTGCCAGGGAGTGAGCACAAAGGATTGTTGTTATGCCAAGTTCAGTATACAGCCTGCTTGCTAGGCCTTAACTCTGGAAAAACAAGCTGTCCTCTGCTATCTTGACATGCTGCACTTCTAAATTTCATGTCAGGTTTTTCCTCACACATCCTTCTTCCTGAGAAACATGAGGATGTGAGGAAGCCCTATCATGCTGTGTTTTCTTTTTTACTCAACAATGTTTTAAACACCCATTTCTGATACAGCTGCTATTGCCCTGGGTGTGGCGTCTCAATGCACTTCTGCTTTAGTCTGTGTATAAGATGTCTATAGGAAACCAAGGCTGCACATTCCACATTTATCCATTATTCTATGAAACATTCTAGCTTCTAAAATACTTTTGTTTGAGGGCATTAATAATATGACCAAAAAAAGCCTAAATGCTGCTTGTTTTGGTTTTAAACAGTCAGTAGCTTTTAAAGGACATTGACCACGAGTTACTTAAGGCTGTCTCTGGAATTTATGTTTAAAAGAAATGGAACCAAGGGGATCTACCCATGATACTATTCCTTTCCATGGTGCCAAGTGACATCCTGGTAGAACAGAAAGGAGACTCTGCCATTAGGGGCAAACATTCCTGTGGCTTATATCATTAGATGCAGCAGCGACCGAGGACTCAGCTGGTGTCTGTCTGTCCCTTTGAGCTCAGAACAATGATGATGATTTTTGTATTTACCGATGAATATGACCATGAGCACAAACCTAGTACCCATTCAATGGACTAGTTCTACTAATCCCTGTCATACCAGCGTCCATACAAAGCAGCTGTCACTAAGCCCGCAGACAACTGATTTTTCCTCATGAAGTAGTAGTTGCCTTCCCAGCCCAGTTGGCCTGGCAATTCCAGTGTCATTCCGGAAGTCAATAATATAGGAAACACAAAAGAAGTACTGAAATTTCCCCAGAGGTGAAAGTCAAAAGTATCAACAGCATTTGTTATCTCCTGTCCACAGGTCTCAAAATGGAGGCCACCACATTTCACCAGGGCACATGCTTGAACATAGTACGTGCCGTGTACTGTATGAAGACCATCAAAGACCCCAAGAGCATAGAAGTCATTGGATAAAATGTGCCTCCGATAATCCAAATAACAACAGAGGGAATTGGCACAGACCTGCAAGCTGCCTTGATTTTCCCAAACAGGTAGAAGAGTGAAATTGTCATACATCATCTCAGAGTGAAATAAAGGTGGCATATTTGGGCTCCATTTTGAGGATTCACTACAGTGAGCATCCGGATCATTCTCACAGTTAGGATCTTCTGATGAGAATTTTCTGTGGGACTCATAAATTCTACTTGTGCCATTCCACAGGAGGTCTACATCTGGTGGGTTTTTAGCTATCTGGGCTACTATCAGTTTGCCTTCAGGGCTTTCCATATCATGGTACCAAAAAGACTTCCAAGGAGTATGTATGCCACTGCCTGTCATGCCCAAGGATGGGTGGTGGATATTTGCTGCCAGAACATTGACGTTGAAAGCAACTGCAAAAGCTTGTTGAATTTCAATACTTGCCAGGAGTGGGAGCTGATTCATCCACGCAGCTGGAAATACAATATGTTTTACTCCATAGTCTCTCACAAGGCTCACAGCAGGTTCAAAGAACAATATATCGAAGCAAGTAAAAATGCCAAACTTGCCAGCAAAAGGTGTATCAAAGGTGCTGTGATCAACTTCAGAAGGAGTATCAAAAGCATATTCAAAATAGAGGTTTTGCTTGCGATAGCTGGCGACAAAAGTGCCATTATCGCTGAACACAACGTTAGTATTAAACTGGTATCGTCCATCAGACGGGCATCGTGGGTCACTGGTGTTACAAGGCTGTTTGGTTCCCAGGTTAGCCACCAGGAACATCTGGCCCATGATGGCCATGCAACTCAAGCGCTGGAAGACCTAGAAAACCAAATTGGCAAATGAAAAATAAATATGAAGAATACTGGTGTCAGTTACTCATCACTAGCCTCTCATATATCAAGAAACTCATCGATGACAGTAATAATAATAGTAGCATTTATGTAGCGCTTTGACATTTGCAAGGTGCTTTACAAATATTAACCCTTACAACAACCTGGGGAAGTAGGTGCTATTATTATTCTCATTTTACAGATAAGGAAACTGAGGTAGACAGAGGTTAAGTGACTTTGATCATAGTCAAAAAGCTATGAGTCAAAAAGTGTCTGAGGCTACCTTTGAACTCAGGTCTTAAGGCCCAGCGTTCTATCCACTGTACCATCTAGCTGCCTCTCCAGGAAAAAAATCATTTTTTTACCTTTGTGGAAGTTTAAGTCAACAAAGCAAGTCATTATTGAGGGCCTACTATGTGTGAAAGGACTGTACTAGGTGACAAAGGAAACACAAAGATGAACAACATGCTATTTCTGCCTTCAAAGTGCTTAAATTTAACAGGAGAGAAGAAGAGGCATATGAGATACATATAAATAAACATAAAAATACCAAGGGGCAATGGATAGAGCGCTGGAGCTGGAGTCAGGAAGATCTGAATTCAGATCTGGTCTCAGACATTTACTAGCAGTGTGACCCTGGGCAAGTCACTTCACCCTGTTTGCCTCAGTTTCCTCACCTGTAAAATGGGGACATATTGGAGAAGAAAATGGCGAACCACTCAAGTATCTTTGCCAATGAGCATGTGTCATGCACTGTGCCAAACACTTTACAAATATTTTATTTGAGCCTCACAACAACCCTGTGAGGTAGGTGTTATTGTGATCTTATTTTATAGTTGAGGAAACTGAGGCAGACAGAGGTTAAGTGACTTGCCCAGGGTCACACAGATAGCAAGTGTCTGAGGCTGGATTTGAACTTAGGTCTTCCTGACTCCAGGTCCAGTGCTCCATCCATTGAACCATGCCTTTTATAGGGGGTGAAATTTGGAGGGAGCTAGAGTTTCCAAGAGGCTGGAGTTAGAGGTTAGAACATTCCAGGCACTGGGGACAGCCGGTAAAAAGGTACAAAAAAACGGGAGATGAAATATTGTTCCAGAGTTGTTCCCAATGCACACGGAATAGCAAATAAGCCAGTTTGGGTGGACTATAAGATATATGAAGGGGAGAAATACACAATCAGTCAGGAAAGAGAGGCTGGAAACATAGTGTGCAGGGCTTTAAATGCCGAACAGAAGAGCCTCTATATAATTCTAGAGGCTGAAACATTTTGAGCAGGAGAGTGACGGGATCAGACCCATATTTTAGGACTATCAAATTGGCAGCTGTGTGGAAGATGGGATGTATAGGGAAGAAACTAGATGTAGAATCAGTTTGGAGGCTATTGCATTAGGCCAGGTGAGAAGTGATAAGAGTCTATCCATTTTTAAGACATATGTATAAAATGCTTTGAAAGTCCAAAGGCAGACAGGGTAGAACCATTTTTCATTGAGAGTTCATGATATGGTCTGTCAGGAATACTATTTCCTTTTCCATCCTTACAAGATGGGTAAAATTTCAAGTGGCAGGTATAGGGGTGGAGGCATTGCATTCCAGACATACAGAATTACAGAGACTAGGAGATGGGAAAGCACAGGATGTCCTAAGGGATAAACAAGCAGAGCATTGGACACATGAAGAGAGAAACAGAAACCAAAATTTGAAAGGTTGGAACAGACTACAGGGTCTTTGAATACCAAGTTAAAGAGTTTGAACTTAGGGAGTAAGCAGTAGAAAGCCTTAGAAAGTTTTTAGTAGGAAAATGACAGGATGGGACCCATACGTGGCTGAAACTAAGCTGACATCAATGTGCAGGAGAGATTTTACTAGAGGGGAGGAGATGGGTTAAAGAAGCACCCTGCATAGTGGGAGGAGAGCCAACCTTGAAGACCTTGGTTCCAGTCCCATCTCTGACACACATTGGCTGCGTGTCCATCAAAGAAATCACTTTACCCCTTGATGCAATTCTCGAGGCTGTAAGTTACAGAGAAGGTGCCAGCATCATTTGGTACAGGGCATTACCTCACTTGGGAGTTTCCTACACCAAGGAACTCGCACATCCAGCTCCTACCCCCTACCACAGCAGTTTAAGGAACAGGTAATGAGAGCTTATTGACTGACTGACTCAAGAGTGATGTCTGTAATAAAGTAGAAAAAACAGGAGAAAGGAGGGGATGGAGGTAAGAGAAATTCCAGATGTAAAATCAACAGGACTTGATAACTAGTTGAATTTAAATGAAGAAAGATGGCATGGGGCAGTATCTCGCAAGAGAAACTTTTGTCCCCTCAAAATTCTTACAACTTATTTCTATAAAATAAAATGTAATTGGCCTGAAGTTCACACATCATGATGCTGTGTATTTTTACGCTAAGAGATCTTTGATCTCACCAGTGGGCTCACCCCCAACCAGAGAAGAGCACAAGCCATCGTGCCCTACCGTGGGAGCAGCTGGGGCCAAAGTTACCTTATCTAGGTTATCTCTGGTTATGAGTTCTGAACTTTGCCAGGCTGGCCACATACAAGAATCGCTCTTCCACGCTCTACTCCTGAGCTTGGTAGCAGCAGCCAGAACTTGTTCTCTGCTGTCTTCAAGAGAAGAGGGTCACCTCCATGCGCAGATAAGGCATCAGAGGGGACTTTGGAGGAGAAATAATAATGGTCCATAGTGTATGAAGGCTAAAACACCTGCTGAATAAATTTAATTCTCCTCTGCTGCCACCTTATCCTCAGTCAGTTAAAAAGCATGTAGTAGGAAGCACTTAAAAGGTGCTAGGCCCTGAGCTAAGCACTGGGGGTACGAAGAAAGGCAAAAACCAGTGCCTGCCCTCAAGGAGCTCCCAGTCTAATGGGTAGACAGACATGTAAAGAAACAGGTGCATACAGAATGGAAGGAAGGCTCAAGGTGAAGAGGCTGGAAATGGCCTGCGCAAGATGCCACTGGAAAGAATAACAGGATGCCAAGAGGTGGAGGGCAGGAGGCTGAGCAGTCTAAGCAGAGGGGACATTGGGAGGTGGACCATGGGGCAGACCACAGTACAGAGAGGAGAGTAAAGTATAAGAAAACTGGGAAAGGGGGTGGTGGGCCAGACTGCAAAAAGCCTTCCTTCAGGGCCAAAGAATTTCATATTTATTCCTGGAGGTAATAGGAAGCCAGTGGGGCTTACTGAGAAGAGTCACGTGGTCAGACCCACAACTTTAGCGAAATCACTTTGGCAGCTACATGGAGAATAGATCGGAAAGTGGAGAGACTCAAGGCAGAGGTACCAGTTAGAACTCTGTCTTTTTGGCTTTATGTTAGCACAGTGCCTGACACAGAGTAGGGGCTTAATAAATGCTCTGTCTCCCTATCTATCTTTCTTTTTCTTTCTATATCTATCTGTTTGTCTGTCTGTCTAGTGATTTGGGACAAGTGCCTCAGCATCTCTGAGATTGTTTCTTCATCTGTAAAATGGGGATGATACTACACGTACCCACCTCCCCGGGTTGCTGTGAGGATGAATGTCCATAAGACACTCTGCATACCACAGAAGTCCTACATAGATGGTGGCTGTCATTATGACCCTACTCAGCGCTCCACAGCAGGACTGTGGCAAGAATCTCTTCACAGGTCCTCCCATCCTTGCTCTTTACCTGTCCCAATCCTTCCTTTACACCACTGCCCCTTGTCAGGAATGTTGTAGGTCTCAGATTCCTTTCCAGCTCAGGATTGGACTAAATGACTTGGGGATTTCCTTTCAACTTTGATTCTGAAATAGCTTTAAAAAAAAAAACTGCTGGAATCCCCCCTGGGGGGGAAGCACTTATGCACTTATCACGTGACATTGCATACTACAGTTATTGATTGTATCATTTCACCTTGTGGGATGGTAAACTCTGATGGCAAAGACTTTATCTTAGTTCAGTAACATATCTCCTACAACATCTAGCCCTGTGCCATATACTTTATAAACATCTACTGAATGAATGAATAAATTATCACCATCAGTAATCCTCCCAGTTAATTAAGGAGGATTTATTGCATGCCTAATACTGCATCAGGAACAATAAAGGATTCCAGTAACGTGTTTTGTATCTTAAGGAATGAGGAAAATATCAGTAAATGGAAATTTAAGAAAAAAAAAAGATTTCCTGGATTTTTACTTATTTCGTGATATAGGTGAGTAATCTTCAGAATGCCCCCAAAACTTCTTACGGAGTTTCCAGAATTTCTCTTAGAGCCTAAGTAAGAGCATTCTGTTCTTGTTTCTTATCCCACAGTTGAACTAAGTTCTATCCCCTTTGCTTTTAGAAGAGGCAAAGCTGCAGCACCCACCTCCGTGTCACTGAACTTATGTGGTTCCAGGCACGGGTTCCACTTCCCAGACTGGAGAGATGGAACAAAGTCCAGAAATGGATAAATGGAATCTCTGGTGAAATTGAATCCATGAATCCCATCTTCTGGAAAGACAATAATCTGCACACCCTGCCAATTAGAATGTCAAAACACAATCTGTGGTTAGAGAAAAGGCCCAAATGATGCTTTTAATTGTCATATGAGGAACAAAGCGTTTACAAGCAAGTAATGCCTATGAATGGCACCTCCCTAACTGGGGATTGCAGAGTTCTCTTAAGAACACAGACCAACCCAGAAGCCCTTCCCCAAATTATCAGACACACAAGTCCCTGGTTAAGAAGGCCTGGGACTCAACGGTGGTGCCTATGCTAACAGAGATCTGGCAACCTTCAAACATCAGCGTCTCCATCTCACGTTCACTTAAATGACTCCGTATTTCAACTCCTGATTATTGGTACCAACATGGGGTGGAGGGAGAGAGGGGCACAAAGTCAAAAACAATCTAGAACAGCAGATAAGTGAGAAGGCATTTCAGTTTGAAGTGGATTATTATTTTTTTATGGCAAAATAACCCACCAAATTATGTTTTGCTCAGGTTAATATTAAAATGAGCTTGCATTTTCTAAGCACAGAGTGAGAAATTGAATAGAGAACCAAGTCAACAAGTGTCTATTAAGCACCTATTAAGTACTAAAGCTCTTGGAAAATAAATACAGACAAAAATCAGCCTCAGCTCTCCTAGAGCTCAGGATCCTTCCTGTTGGAAAGCCAGGATTAAACATTAACCAGGTACAACAAAGTGTCTCTTGCAAAGGGAATCAAGAATTCCCCAGTAGAGGAGCCAAACTATGGCAGCCAGCACTGAAGATGCTCCCTCCCATGAATCGTTTTAATCCCTTTGTTTTTTGGCCTTTGGGTAAAGATATAAATAGATGGCCCAATGTAGTAGATTACAAAGGCTGACATTTTACATGAAGCTTCAAGGTTTTGCAAAGTGCTTTTTAAAAAACATGATCTCAGCTGCTTCTCACAGCAGCCCTTTGGGCTGAGTGCTGTCATTGTCATTTTGCAGAGGAGGGAGCTTCAGTGACTCTCCTGGGATCATACAAATGCTGGGGAAACAAGGTTCAGACCAAGGCCCTGAACCCTTCCCACTAAACCATTGTCCCTCCCGAACATCCTTCTTGAGTCCTTGAATTCAGGCAGATGCTGTGCAGCCCCTGGGTTATTACGTAGGCTGCTTCTGGGGTATTGGAGAAGGTCTCCTCGGTATTCTGGCTCTGGAGGCTGTCCGTGGAAGAAAAATTACACCTGGGCCTGCCGCTGTCTAAGCCTCCTCAATGCCTGGCTCTCCGATGCAGCTAACTTCACCTCAAGGGCTCTCAACCAGTCAACTGCTAGGTTTGAGAAATTCATAACCAGATTTAAAGCCTTTCATTTTTCTTTAAATATGTCTCCTTACAAGACTTATCCTTGTGGTAACATTTGACAAACAAAACAGAACAATTTCCTTTTCTGTGCCCCAAGTGAGTAGATTTCTTTTGTTGTCCATCCTCCTCGGAAATGAGCCATGAGCAAAGTTGGCCCAGATTGTCCCTTTTGTAAATTCGAGCTCAGGGTTGCCTCGGTTTGTTCTGTGAACTGCCTGAGGACTGAGATTATTCATTTTCTTTTAAATATGGTGTCCAGAATTTTGTGTGTAATAATCTGAAGGCCACAAGCTGGCTGTGAATGATTACCTTCCAATTGAATTTTGGAATGCCTCAAGACATAATGAAGATGACATGAATAATTTGGCTAATTTGACTTAAAAGGTTGGTTTGGTTCATCTGGTTAAGAGGCAGTGTGGCCTAGTTGATGGAGATGGAGTCAGAAGACACTGGTTTGAATCTCAGTCCAGATACTTAATTGCCAAGTGATCTCAGCCTCAACTCCCTGGGTTATATATGGAAGACGGGAATGCTTGCTTGCAAAGGATCAGGTCATCCAACCTCCAGCTAGATCAAGGCCAGTTGTTGTCAGGCCTAGGAGCCCTTGAGGACGCCGCAGTGACCCCCGCCACAAAAGCAGCACGTTTCCATGTGCTCCGTGGCCGGCAGACTACCACTGGACAAATGTTTTCTCACCTCCTTTGCCGCAGCCACTATCTGCTCTTCATACAGATCTAGGTTCTGGTTCATTAGTCTCAATGCTGACTCTCGATCTGTAAGGGCTGTAGAGTCCGGACTCAGTATTGACCGATGTTCATAGACAGCAGCTACAAAATGTCCTTCAGTATGGCCTTCCAAGGAGATAACTTGATGGCACAAGAGGAGAAGACCGAGTTTATAGCTGGCTTCAAGCATAATGTGGGCAATAAATCTGGAACATAACAGACAAGGGGAAGACTGTTGAATGAAGAATCATGCCAGGAATTTAACATTTGCAGCTGTGATTTATTAATCCTGACAATTAAATCCAGACACCCAACTAAACTAGGACTGAAAGAGTTTGTTTCATGTCCCTAATAAAAGGGCATGTGTTTCTCCTTAAACACGTCCCAATCTAAGTTTCAAATGGCACACCACACTAATTTCCCAGCCATTTCCAAAAGAGGCCCAATGTTGGCAACAGTTTTCTTACTCAATTTTCAACAAAACCTCACTGTCATTATTTACTTCTCTTGCTCCATAGTTAACTTATAATTAATAACATTGATTATAATTGACATAATTCAGTTTCTACTATAGCTCATCCATCTGCACTGGCCAAAATCTATAAAATGACCAGAGTTATAAAAACCACAATTATAAATAGAAATGAATTACAGATTTTCCCTTGCATTTCTCTTAGTAAGTAATGAATTTAAAAGCTAAATCTCATTTCCTTTAGTATGTAGGTTTTTTAATACAATACTGAAAAAAATACTGACCAACTCAGATGAGGGTTATTGCTGTCATTTATAAGTAGGCAAAAAGAAAAAAAAAAATGTTTCCCATGAAAACACTGCTTTTTCTCCCTGCCTTTAGGAATTATCAAATTTAACTTCAGTGTATTTTACTCCAAGAAGCAAGTTGCGTTGTAGATAATGGGCTGCTTTTAGCATCAGGAATCAATTAACCAACAAGCATTTATTAACTGCCTCCTATGGGCCAGGAACAGTGCTGGACGTTGGGGATAAAAAGACAGATCTGAGAATCCCGGACCTCAAGGAACTTATCTCAGGTAACTTGTCTCAGGTAAGACTACACAGACCTTTTGGGGTAGCTGGGTGGTACAGCGGGATAGAGCACCAGCCCTGAAGTCAGGAGGACCTGAGTTCAAATCTGGTCTCAGACCAAACACTTAACACTTATTAGCTGTGTGACGTTGGGCAAGTCACTTAACCCCAACTGCCTAAAAATTAAAAAAAAATTTTTTTTTTTAAAAAAGACTACACAGACCTGTGGGGGGGAAGGGGGAGGGGTGGGTATAAAAGGAGAGAGGGGGATTCAGGTGGGAAGAGCAGCAGGGGCATCAGAAATGTCTCCTACGGAAGGTGAAGCTTGGGCAGGGAGCGAAGGTCTCTCTGATGAGGCAGCAGAGACAGAGGACAGTGACAGGTAATAGGCTGGCAAGGCAGATGGCCATGATAGGCCCAGGGCATTCAAGGTCAAAGGGAGCTTAGGGCTTCGACTGCCAAACAGAGGACCTGATGTTTGATCTAGAAGTAAGTAGGAGTCACCAGAGTTTACTGATAACGATGATCGCACGTACGCTGTGGGGCTACCACAAGTCAGCAGCGTGAAGGGGAAAACACTGAAGGCAGCAAGGCCAGCAAGGAGACTGTTTCAATGGGGGAGGGAAGCGCCTACTGTGTGTCCCTTTGATCCTTATACTAACCCTGTGAGGTCAGAGGTCGGTGGTCAGCACCATTCAGCAGCGTCTGGATAACGCAGGGTTGGGTTTTTGGCGAGGCTTCAAGGGTGAAAGGAGAAGGCCAAGGGATTTCGAGGAGAGGACAATGGAGAACTGACTGATTAATTAAAAAGTGGAGAATGGGAAAGGAAAGTGAGGCCAAAGCAGGGGTAAGGGTCTCTGAGAGGCCTGGGCAGGGGAGAATGCGTAGGGACAGACGGAGGGACTCTAGGCTGGTCACCTAAATCAGGGATCAATGCTCCGGGCAGCTCTCCAGGACTGTCACTGAAGGATTGCTGATCTGAACCAGTGGAGGGAGTTTCCACATCCGAAGTTCCCGACCCACAAGGAATCGCTGTCACAGACTTTTGTCTCCATTCACATAAGGCTAAACATCCCCACAAGTTCTTGCGTGTAGCCCGGCTGGATAAGAATCCCTTTAACATGTTTTAGATTGAACACTGGTGTGATATAGTTGATGGCAATTAAGCCTCAGAGACGAGAAAACCTGGGTTCAAGGTCAGGCAAGTCATGGAACCTCTCAGGTTCTAGACTACTCTCTAAGACTATCAGTTTCAGGGAAGGTGCCAGCTTGTATTGGTAGAGGGAATTACTTTGCCTTATACTTAGATTATTTTCATTATAAAACCAAACTCCGGCGGGACAAATTTCTTTTTTTTTTCTTGGCAAAGGTCTCAGGAAATAAACAAGTCTAACACTTTACAGCAATAGAATCTGTACCAAGCATACATGTTCAGAATTGAACATTTCTCAGAATGAGGCCCTTCTCTCCTCATCTCAATTCATCACTCATCTCTCTGAGGCATTTTTGGCCACCTAATAAATATAACATCAGAATGTTGATTCCCAAGATTGGTTGGCATCCTACTTGGGGATTGCGGAACAACATTGAGGGGATGAACAAGGAGTCTTTCAGTGACCGATCACGAGTTGTAGGAGGAAACAAAGTAGAATTGATAAACTTTCTTTTATCTGAATTAAGCTAGAGGACAAACCCAGAATGTTAAAGGACATCTTTTACACATTTTTCCTATTACAATAATTCTACCTCCATGACTGATTATAACAAGGAGCATCTTTTAAGAAGCATTCATAATACTCAAAGATGCCAGGAAAAGGATCTTATTTTTAGAGCTGAGAAAACTGAGGTTTTGGGCAAAGGTAGTTAAATGGCTTCCCAGAAGGCCGAGGTGAAGCCAGAAACTTCCCAGGCTCTCACAAGGGGTTTTGCAATACAGCCTTTTTCTACAGTAGATTATATGCAATACATTTGTATGTTGTTTGTTTTGATCTTAAGGGTCACTTGCAATTTGGCCAAAGAAGGACCCAGCTAAACTAGCCAGTGTTAGGCTGCTGATAGTCAAGGTTTGATGTTGGAACAAAATGAAACATTTGAAGGTCATTTAATAGTTAGCAAAAGGAAGTTTACTTAGCCACGGCAGAGGAAGGATATTCAACAAAGCTTGGGAAGATGCAGGGAGGAATCTTACCTTACCTCCACCAGGAAGTCTGGTCAGCCTGAAGGGATGTGGAGAGTCGAAGGGCAAGAGGACAAGTTTGAAGGGCCTAGACTCCACCTAGATGGGTCTTTTATGCCATTAGGTAACCAGGAAGTCAATGGAGACTCTTCTGGAACCTTGGCCCCCAGGTCCTTCAAGTTTCAAAGGCAGCTTTGTCACTTTTCAGGAAAAAAAAAAACAAAAAACTAGTCTAACTCCAGTAAAGGGAAGAAAGAGGAAAATTTTTAGATAAGGGATAAGGATCCTATCACACTAAGAAAACCATTTTGTTTCACAACCTTTTCATTTTTGGTTGAGTGCATATCATGGATTTTTTTTTTTATTAAAAAGTTAGATGGAGAGTGGGCTGTTAATCATTTACATACCTTGGAATGGCTCCCCTCTACAAAGAAAACTAGAAAAGCTTAGTGAGGGCTACCAAATTCATCAGCAATTTGTCACATACTCTGGTATATCTTATATCACCACAGTCGAAAGTTGGTAAGTCCACAGAGGGTAGACTCTTTCATTTGTCTTTGAATCCCCAACCCCTACGGTGCCTTGCACATAGCAGATATATCTTAAATGTCTGTGGAACTGAACTGAATTAAGGAGTATTGAGCATTCATGCAGGAAAGGATACAACCATAAGGAAGTAAGAGAAAATGAATACAAGTCCATATTTGGACTTGAAGAAAAACACCAGGAAAATGTGTTTGTGATAAGGTCGACTTTCTCCCTATATAGATAAGTTGTCCCATGGGACAATGTCATGTGTTAATAGGTTATAAAGGACATCAAAAATGGCAGGTGCTATGGGCAAAGGTCAAGATTTAAGCTGCCAACTTGGAGGAGTCAAAGGTGATACTGGAGGCGGGTGCTAGGCGGCCATCAGAGTGACAACCGACAGACCAGAGGCAGAGGAATCATGGGAGTCCCAAGAGTGAGATGTCAAGCTACTCCAAGTGAGAGACAGCTCCTACCACTCCTGTGCAGGAGCCTAGTGAATCATCCTTAAAGTGAAGGTCTTAGCTACCAAAACGACATCAAGAAGGAGCTTGGTAAGAGTTGGTGCATTTCCAAAAGTAGAGCTCACTGTTTTCTTGGAAATGCAGCCTTTCAGCCCAAGAAGACTAATTTATATATTTCTACTTCATAATGAAAAGCATTCACTTGGCACTAATCACTATAATAATGCTTTTTCTCTATATGGAAGCTGAATCAATGTCCAGAGAGGAAAAATGGGTTTTTTTTTCTTTACTTGGCAAAAAATTCATCTTGACTAGGCAGCATAAACCATCCTCCTCCTCATCCATGCTGTCATTCTTTGCAAAAGCATCTTATGCCATAAAATGTAAAGACAGACACACACATTTTTGAAATTTATAAATAACTCAGCTGTCTTCCTTTTCTGATCTTATTTTAAGTGAAGGATTCTATCAACCTGAACCTGCCTCTATCTTTCCCTTATTTCCAAGAATAAGGAAGGAGGATGAAAAATACAGCAGAGGAAATGTCATACCAAGTAGATCAAGGCTTGGGGGATTTGCAATGTTACCAAGAACTTGGGTCATATTTTTTATGTATATCTTACAGAAAAATAAGTTTTTTTTATAAAATCAATTTTTATATCCAAGTATAGCCTCAATAGAGGCTAATGAATTTTATTTCTTTCACTAGGAAAATATGGGAGAAGATAATATATAGCTTTGCCTGTTTATATTAACCAAAATTTAGAAGGAAATAAAAGGAAAATAGATTTTCTTATTTTTTTAAAAAATGTATAATTATTTATTGATCATTTTCTAGTTCATCAGAATGTCAAATCAAATGCCAGTTGTAACAGGCTACAGGATTCATCAGTGCTGCTCCTGAAAAAGATACTTCTCAATAGTTCTAGAAGGTTTTCACCTTCCAGTTTGATAGCTTCCATGGAGGTACGTCTATCAGTAAGATCTCTGACGGCTCATTTCAGTCAAGTGTACACATTCTGAATGGCAAATGGTGATATCAAAACTGAAGAGCTCAGAAAGCATCAATGAATAAATTAACTACTAAAATCATGTTACCACATTAATAATACATATGTATATATACATACACATATATAAATTCATAAGCTTTGTACTCATTTAAAAAAATTCAACTGCAAAAAAATCTAATTATCAGTCTTAAAATAGGGAATGATAAATAATGTAAGGTTTTACATTGTCTTCCTTTGATAATAGCCATATTTCTACTCAACATTAGCTAGAAAAGCCGATATCTGAGTTCACTCTCATTGATTTAAGGAACTTAGAACTAAAACTTAAATCAAATACCTGATGCTGAGGGCCAGGATTAAATACAAAATGCTCTATTTGGCATTCAAAGCCCTTCTTATCCTAGCCCCCTCCCTACCCTTCCTGGCTGTTTCAGGTACAAGACACTCCACCTCTTGGCTCCGGGCGTTTTCTCTGGCCACCCCAAGCCTGGAATGCTCCTCCTCTTCATCTCTACCTACTGACCTCCCTAGCTTCCTTCAAGTCCCAATTAAAATCTACCAGAAGCCTTTCCTAACCCCTCTTAATTCCAGTGTGTTATCATTAGTCTATTAATTATTTCCTGTTTATCTTGTTTGTACATATTTGTTTGCTTCTTGCCTCCCCTCTTAGACTGTGAGCTCCTTGAGGGCAGGGACTGTCTTTTGCCTCTTTTTGCATCCCCAGTGCTTAGCACAAGGCCTGGCACATAGTAGGCACTTAATAAATGTGTACTGACTGAATGACTGACCAATTATGCATATATAATTAAGGTAAAAAATACTTCCACATGAAACACTGGGTAACCTTTCTTTCCTTGCTCCATCCCAAATGACTACCAGAGTTCTCCATTTCATGTTGTGTGTATGAACCTATTATTACACTATGGACAACCATCCTACTGTCTTTGCTCTTCATTCGGTCACTGGTACTTGGAAAACTCCAGCCAAGCTTAAGCTCTTTATCGCCACCGTATGGAGAAGCTTAGTATTGCCAATTTAGATGACGGGACATTGTTAGTGAGATACAGACAGCACAGGGATGCTTAAGCAATTATCGAGGCAGAGTTTTTTCTCCCACTCCTCCTTTGCATCCCCATAACCCCAATTACATCCTGAAAACCCAGGGAGCATTTTCTAAAATGGACTGTCCTAAGTGATCTCTGTCTTTCTTACTTTCCCCTAGCCATCTTCCTGTTTAATTTACATCCTCCATCCTGAGGTTGTGAATTTGATCCTTGTGAAACAGGAGAAGTCTTGAGATGCTTATGTTGTCTACAGGAGTCAGTGGACATCCTGGGAGTCAAGAGGGTCACCAGACACCAAATGTGCCACACTGCAGATGGGATTGTGGAAGACTTACGGCCAGGACACCAAGAAAGATGGAAGAAAAATGAGTCCTTGCCTCAAAGAGCTCCCAGTCTGCTGGGAGAGAAGCCTAAGTAAAGGGGGACAGCTGGGGTTGCTAAGGCCCAACATTTGATGCCCCTTACCCCGGAGAAAGGGTGCTTGCAGGAATCCACCAAGATTCCTCGGCTCCTCTAAGGCTCCTAATTAATCCATAAATATTTATATACATCAATAAATATTTAACCTGTGCTAATTATGTGTAAAAAGTACAATGAATGACATAATCCCTACTGGCAAGAAGCTTGCTGGCCACAAGAACATCTATAAGTGTAGAGATCGTTAATATAAAGAGAACAAATGCAAAATAGACAAATACAAGGTGGTTTGGGAGGGAGGGTGTTACCTGCCTGGGGAGTCAGGAAAGGCTTCATTTAGAAGAGACGCTTAAGCTGCATCTTGAAGGGAGTTGTTTTATGAGGCGGAGGTGAGGAAGGGAGTAAGGAAAGGGGTGAGGAAGGGGGTGAGGAAGGAGGTGAGGAAAGGGGTAGGAAGGAGGCGAGGAAGGGGGTGAGGAAGGGGAGCATCCCTGGCATATGAGACAGGATGATGGGAAGGAGCATGATGCCTTCCACAAAAAGAATGATGTTTTGACGAATGGGTGAGTTTGTGGGGAAAGATGCATTTGAAATGTCTAGAATATTTAGTCTGAAATGTGCAGCAGGCAATTGGTGAGGGGAGACCAAGCTTAGGGAAGAGACTGGGGCCAGAAATAGAGATCTGGGAATCACGGGCACAGGAAAGAGAGCTGATAAGGTCAGAGGGGAAAGAGGCAGAAATGAGCCTTGGGGCACACCCACTGTTAGGAGGTGCCATGGTTCACCAGCCAGCTGGAGCAGGAGTCTGGTTAAAGATCCAAAAAAGGAGCTTGAGAAAGAGTGGACGTGTCTGAGAGGGCAGAGTCACAAAATCCCTAAGAGGAGAATGAATCTGGGGGATGGAGTGGTCAATAGCCGTGGAATACAGCAGGTGGACTGAGGAGGGTGAGGACTGCTGACGGCCTCATCAGATCTGAAGATCAGGAAGTCTTTGGTCGCCTGATGATCAGAAGCCATACTGCAAAGGGTTAAGAAGTGAGTTGAGTGGAAGCAGCAGGTGTAGACAGCTTTTCCTAGGAGTCTGGCTGAAAAAGGGAGGAGAGGTGTAGGATGAGAGCTTGATGGACTGGGAGGCTATAGTGAAGGTTTTTTTTTCTCTCTTGAACATGGTTAAAGGCAAAAGGGAAGAAACCAGTAGTTAGGGAACAACTAATTTTCCCTCTACCCTCCGATTGTTAATGCCGGGGTTGTCTGTATCACCCAAGCTGACTCCAAGACTTAGGTCTGCACCCCCTTTGTTCTTTCCCTTCATCTGATTTCTGTAAGGTCACTTACAAGGGCATTTGGTATAAAGACTTTAATCCGAGTGGAGGCAATCATTCAGAGCAAATTAATATTCTCTGGCCTATGCAAGTACACAAAGAGATAAAGTAGGTGGAGACTGGGAGACCAAAATCCAGACAGCTTGGAAAGTAAAGTGTGTGAAGAGGAGTCATCCGGAATGAGAAGGGAAAGGTCAGTTGAGACCTGGTCCCCCTGAGAAGTCTGTGTTTTATCCTAAAAGCAACAGGGAGTCACAGAAGGTTGTTGAGCTGGGCAGTGAGCTAAGCAGATTTACGCAGAAGGAAGATTATTTTGGCAGCTGTGTGAAGGATGAATTAGAGAAAAAAAAGCCTGGATATGGGGAGGTCAGGTTTGAGACCAATAGTAGTAGTAGTAGTAGCAGTAGCAGCAGCAGCAGCAGTAGTAGTAGTTAACATTTATATAACACCTACTATGTGCCAGGCACTCTGCTAAGTACTTTACACAGATTGTCTCATTTGATCAATTGATTTGAGATTATTACACTAATCTTAACAGAGTGGAGATAAAAGCCTGATGGTGTTGGTATAAATGGAGAGAAATAGGGGTACAATCAGGCTTTGGAAACCAGAGAGTCAGGAAGAATAAAGAGGCTGAGATTCTAAGAGTGGGTGGCCGGGATCAGCAGAAACACAGAAGTTGGCATTATTTCTGTACAGAGAAGGGCAAGTCTAGGGGGTTAGATAACGTGGTAGGCATCGAACATGGAGAATTTGAGGTGATACTGGGACATACTGTAGAGAGCTGTCCAGGGGGAACTCAGATAGGAGAAGTAGGTACAGGGCAGAGATTTGGGCAATATTATCTTGTGTGTCTTACTGTAGCCTTGCAGGTGAATATAAACGTGTGGTCGCACATCCGTCTGAGATGCAGCTGAGTGGTACAATGGATAGAATGCTGGGCCTGGAATCAGGAAAACCTAAGTACAAACCCTGCCGCAGCCACTGAATAGCTCTGTGACTCTGCACAAATCACTTAACATCTGTTTGCCTCAGTTTTCTTATCTGTAAAATGGGGGTAATAATAGCACCCACCTCCCAGTTGTTGTTGTGAGGACCAAAAGAAATAATAATTGTAAAGTACTTAGTACAGGGCCTGGCACATAGTAGGTGCTACATAAATGTTAGTTATTGTTGTTGTTGTTGCTATCATTATTATTATTATTATTATTATCATTATTAGACAGCAGTTGAACTCAGGTCTAGCCGACTTCAAGTTAAGGAGCTATCCACTCTACCAAAGACGTCACACACATGGACCACGATGCTTCCAAACCAGATTAAAATGTAGTAGCTCTTTTCTGGTCTTAATGTATGAACAAAAAGAGAACTACAGAAACGTGTGGTTTTCTAAGCCAATGCGCTTAGACCCCCCACTGGGGTCCTTATGTACTGTTTGCTGGCCCCCGTTTCTATCTGAGGTTGGCACCACTGTCCTACACAACACGAATTTCACACCAAAAATTCATGCTCCCCTCAGTCCCTGAAATTTTCTTCAATCCTTTAAAGATCTTTTCCGACGAAGCACCATATATATCAGATGTGACCAGGTGCTATTCGGTAGTTTTCAGTGTTGGAATTAAGAGTGGCCTCAATAATCCTACTGGTTTTTAAAATTAGTTATGGAAGTAGAGTTTGACATAATCTTGATTATCTAGCTCCACCAGCTCGCTTTGAGACCTTACCCAAGGTCACACAGAAAATAAATGGAAGAACCCGTATAAAAACAGAGTTCTGTCTCCTCGCACCCTGATGCCATGTAGCCCCTCAAGTCACCCTAGGTCTTCTAGGCCACTTGAAAGCTCTGCTCTCCAAAGAACAGTGAGGTGTAGACGCTCTCTAAAGAGGCAGAGGATTTCGTTCCTATGATTCTTTGAGTAGCTAAGAATTCCTAGTGTGCCAGTCACCACCACAATGGCAGGTCATGGGGGTCCACCAAGGGAGGCCAAGGCTGGAGACCTCTTGAGCAGCAGTGGGGATCCACCCTAAGCTCCAAGTTAATACGACAGTCCCAGGTTACCTAATGAGGAGCAAGCGTGGGAAATGGAGCAAGTCAAAGGTCATGTGTCAATCCGAGTGCAACGAGGCCCCAAGTGGACCTCTGACATTCTAAATGAAGTGATGAAATCTTTTAAAAAACTAAACTAAACTAAGGGCCGCTAGGTGGCACCATCGTGCACTGAGAGCCAGGCCTGGAGTCAGGAAGACTCATCTTGCCGAGTTCAAATGTGGCCTCAGACACTTTCTAGCTGTGTGACCCTGGGCAAGTCACTTCACCCTCTTTGCCTCAGTTTCCTCATCTGTAAAACGAGCTGGGGAAGGAAGTGGCAAACCACTCCAGTATCTCTGCCAAGAAAAGCCCATGACAGTACTGCGTGCTATGGGCCAGGGGGTCACAAAGAGTCGGACACAACTGAAGGACTGACCTGCAGCAGACTAACCTAAAATAGTTTCTGCTCTCCGGAAGGTATTTCTGGTTTCTCTGCACTCTTTCCAGAGAGGAGGCACAGAACTTAAATTCAAATAAATTCTCATCAGATATTCCCTACCTACCACATTCTGGTGAATGAACTAAATGAATGCTGTAGTCTGAGAGGAGAAGACTTTCATAATTTAGAATGGAAACATAAAGCACTCTAGAACCTACCCCAAAAGAAGTAAGAAAGAAATGATGGTAATGTTCTTTGCAAAATCCTTAAATAATTAGGAAATATTCCTTTAGGCTCCTGTAATGATGTAATATCACAATACCAATGATTAATCAATAAACAACCATTTATTAAGGGTTTACTATGGGCCAAGGAGGGTGCTAAGCGCTGGGGATACCCAGGGAAAAATCAAACCCACTGTATGAAATGAGTAAAACTCGGCTGCTCTTATCTCAGGCCAACAAGAGAACTCTGGACAGTTCTGTTGAATCGTTAGTGGAATGCCCCACCAAAAAGTGAACTCTGCCCCACGAGCTGAAGGCTGTTTTAAGGTCAGAGATTGTGGAAATAAACACAGCCCTGTTCTTCTTCTAAAGAACTCGTTGCTGGGGGATCCCACCCAAGCTGCGGAGAATCAATTCCCTGGGACGCCAAGCCTTGGGCTAGGCACTTTCCAACTCTGTGTTCCCACTTCCACTGGAATTTCTGTTGCAGGTCGTAACTACAAGTCACTACCTGTGTGATCCTGGGTAACTTATGCTCTCTGGGCATCCGTTTCCCCATCTGTGAAATTCGTGTTTCATAAGTGCTTGTTGGTTTGACAGTTATTAATCTAAAATGGAAAACCTTCTGAGCCTGGCCCCTTCCCGCACCTGATGCCTCTCCCAGCCACTCTGTGACCCTCAGGGGGATCCATCTGCCGGCTGGCCCCTGGGCCTGGAATTCCCTCAGGAACCCAGCCCCCAGCCCCTGAATGCTGCTGCCTTCCCTCGGCTGATTCTCTCCTATCTATCTCTCCCATAGCTCGTCTACACCCGGCTGTGTGCAGATTGTCTCCCTCACCAGACTGGGAGCACCGTGAGAGCTGGAACTGACTTTTGTCTTTCTTTGAAACTCCAGCGCTGAGCACATAGTAAGCACTTAATAAATGCTTATTGATCTGACTGTGATTTTGCAGTCAGGATAAGCAGAGGTTTCCTCACAAGTAAAATACGTGCTAGGCCAGCGCCAGGCCTAGAGTCAGGAAGATCTGAGCTCAAATCCAGACCAGACACCAGCTGTGTGACCCTGGGCAAGTCACTTTACCTTGTTTACCTCATTTTCTTCATCTGTAAAATGAGCTGGAGAAGGAAATGGCAAACCCCTCCAGTATCTCTGCCAAGAAAACCCCAAATGGGGTCATGAAGAGTCAGACACGACTGAAAATGACTGAAGAACAACAACAAAAAGGGTGCTAATAAGGACATCTGCCTCCCAGGGTTGTCACGGAGATCAAATGAAATCATGCTGTGGAAAGTGCTTTGCAAACTTAGGTGCTACATAAATGCTAGTTGCTGGTGTTATTACTATAATAACTGGGTGAAGGGGCAGAGGCGCTGGAGTCAGGAGGATCCAAGTTCAGATCTGGCCTCAGACACTTGAGACTTACTAGTTGTGTGACCCTGGGCAAGTCACTTAACCCCATTGCCTCAAAAAAAAAAAAAACCAAAAAACTGGGTGAAAAAGTTTTTTCATAAATTAGCACAGCGCATGGTACACAGTAAGTACTATATAAATACTAGCTATTGTCAGCATTATTATTGTTATTATTACTATTATTATTATAACTAGGTGAACTACAGCGTCTTCATAAATTAGCACGGCACCTGGTACAGAGTAAGCACTATATAACCCTGGCTAGTGGTTATTATTATAACTAGGTGAACCAGTTTTCACAAATGAGCACAGTGCCTGGTGCACAGTCAGCACTACATAAATGCTAGTTATTATTGCTATCATTATTATTATAGCACAGTGCCTGGTACACAGTCAGC